TATTTTTTTTTTAATATATATTGAAAAATGTTCGATATGGCGGTATATGTTAGCAGTTTACAGACGAAAATCTTTGTTTCTTATATGCAATATATTTTTGAAAATTTTAGAAAATCTGTCTACTCATTTTTAAAGATTTATATACCAAAATATTCTAGAATATGTCTATTTTTTAAAAAAATACCGTGCAACAGTGTACCATTCCGTAAAATTTATAATTATTTAAATTTTGATAGTGTCCCCTAACACAGAATATAACCAACAACAAATGCCTGTAACAGAGTTCAATGCATTTGTGAATATGCTGCAAAAGTTGTTTTTGTTAATATCTTTATTGTTTGCTACTCGATTTTGATAATTCTTACATCAATTCATATTAGAAAAATATAAACAATTTAAAAAATACCGTGCAACATTGTACTACTTTTTATTTTTGTTTCTAATATATATTGAAAAATGTTCGTTATGGCGGTATATGTTAGCAGTTTACAGACGAAAATCTTTCTTTTTTATATGCAATATATATTTGAATTTAATTTAAATATTGAATTTAAAATATTATTATTATATAAATTAAATTTTATAATCATCCCCTTACCACAGAATACAACCACCTATAAATACTTTTAACAGAGTTCTTTAATAAACTTTACAGTGGTGGTGAATTTTTAGCCTTGTACAGGTTTTCACCTTAATATGTTATTAGAATGGTGTTAGTTAACATACATTTTTTTCGTAAAAAATCCACTTTTTTAAACATATATAATTAAAAAACGTTCTACTCGATTTTTGTGAAATTAGTTTTGTTTGAAAGAGTGATCAATTTAGTTTTAGGAACTTTAAGCGTGCAGGTTGTACCTCCTTCGAAATTTAAATAAAATGCACTTATATCGGAACATGTGCAAAATTTATGCTTATTTTAATAATATTTTGATGTTTTAGTTGAGATATTGAAATGATTCTTATTTATCCGGTTTTGTGAAAGTTTTTTTTATACTTTTGCGTTTTACATTTTTTAAAAAGCTTCAAATTTGACGAGTTAAGAAATTTGACTTTGACATCAAATTTCTCAAAATTGGTCTACTCGATTTTTATGTTTTTTTTTGCTGTTGATAGCCTGATTAATTCTCTATTAGATGTATTACCGTGCAACATTGTACCTGTTCTAGATTTTTCTGAAAATAAATTTTTTTAAAAAAAGTTGATTTTGGTCAATTTTTATTTTCCCTATAATTTGAAAAATACGCATCGTATCTCAAATTGGTAAATGCCAATCGAAAGATCTTTCAAAACTCTATAAGAATAATGCCTTTTGTTTTAGTTTAATTCCATATATTAACGAAAATATCATTTTTTAAAAATTTTTTGAAAATACAGCCCTGCATTTTCCAGCAACGTTGCTAACTTGGCACTAGCTACAAATACTGCTTATTTGGTCGCACTAGTGTTGATACCAGTAGTGTTTTATTCTACTAGGTACACAAAAGTAGTAGTAGAAAATATAAAACATTTTCTGCAAAAGAGTTAATTATAATAAACTGGCATGTAACTTGCAAGCAGTATTGCTATAAATTGAAGCTTAATTAATCTCTTTTAAACTGTTCGTACAATAAAAGCAATATAGATTAGTATGTTTCTGTACAAGAATAAACATACACAAATAAAAGTTGTTACAAATATGTTATTAATTTAAATTTATTATTAAAATATGACAATATAATTAAATGCACTGAAATAAATATTCAAATGTAGTTATGATTTTTATATTAAAATTTAAAAAATTATACAATTATTGAAATATAATGTAGTACCTCAGAGTGAAAAATACACGCAAAATTGCAAATGATATTTTGTAACACAAAACACTGTTCCACAGAGAATTTTATTTAAAGGTAAATTATGAATGACATACAAAAAAATACGGGAAATTTTTGACTTTACGGCAAATAACCATATATAAACATTTATCGTTAAACGAATATTCAAACAAAATTTTATACAAAAATATTTTGTCATATAAAAGTTAACACATTTTCCGAATGATATACATTAATAATTAATTAAAAATCTTTCGGAGTTCTTTAAAATTTCCCTTACAGCTGTTTATGAATGTACATTTTTTTTAATGTTTGTATCACATAATTGATATCTTCAGTTTGTATTGCTTCGCTGAAAAGATTGCTCTTTGTTCAGTTCAAATAAAAATTTCATAATCAAAGTGTTAAGATGTCCACTGATGTTGTTGGTTTTGTATATGCAGCAACTGTTGCAGCAGGTGGTATAATGGGTTACATGAAAAGAAGTAAGTTTATTTATTTAATTTTTACGCAACCTCATTTGTTTTTTTTATCTATTTCAGAATCTATACCATCATTGGGTGCTGGCTTACTTTTTGGTACCGTGTTGGGTTATGGTGCTTATTTAACTTCACGAGATCCACCACAACCACTTTTGCAATTGGGTACATCTATCGCTTTAGCTGGAATTATGAGTGCTCGTTGGAGGCGCTCTGGCAAACTAATGCCGGCTGGTTTTATTGCCATATTATCGGCTGCAGCGATCGCTAATAATATATACACCTATAATCGCTATTTACCTTTACCTGGCAAATCTTAATTGCCATCAAAAATTAATGGCTCTATGCCTGACTTACTTGCCTTTTTGGTTTTGCACTATACTTAATATGGGTTTATGGACTTAATATTTACAGGATATAATCCTAATTTACTTATTATTTCTTATTATTAATAAAAAACTATTTTTTTATTATTAATTTCGATGTTTTTGTGACTAAATCATATAATAGAATGTAAGAAATTAAAATATTTTTTATTATTAATTATTTGATTAATTGAACTATTGTACCCAAAATGTACTGGTTTAAATGCAGAAAAAAAAATAGTTCATACTCATGATGGTTTTATACTTATAATGTAGCCGGCAGTAAAGTATCTTATTGAAAATATATTTAATGGAAGCCATTTGGCGAGAATGTACTTGACAAATCTTTAAAATGAAATTATGAATCAGGCAGGCGGAATAAATAAAGTAACTACTCAGATACTCGTATATGAATTTAATGAACCATTCTGTCGAATATATAAAGAACTAAATTTCAGCATTTTTTCACTTATATGCGATTTTCGGCACTTAATCTCAGGTATGTGTCTTACAGATATACACATTAGAAAGCGTTTAGATATTTCCTTACATTTTGTTACATCTTCTGTTTATTATTATTCTCCGGTTTGTTTAAGGTTAATTAGGTTCAATTATACCGAATTAAATAAATTAATATTTTAATTTAAAAAAATAATTTTAGACAAAGAATTAGTTTAAGAATATATTGAATAATAACTTAAATAAAATAAATTCCTGATCGGATACTGCAGAAAGAATTCTTCAAAAATATTCTGCATAGTTGCAATAATTTCCTTTACATACTTTGAATTTTTTATGAAATCTAATTTATTTATTTATAGTTCTAAAATTTTTATGACTTTAATGCTTAATATTAAAGACAATGATAGGAAATATCATGGCAAATGTAATAAAAAGTAATGTTTTTCAAACTGTGCTTAATATTAATAACCATCGTTAGGTTTTCAAACTGTGAAGTTATAACTGTCATAGCCGGTTAAATTATTAAAACTTCATAAACAATCAGATTAATGGTGTTTTCGATTGGTAAATCTGAATTCAAAAGAAGATTTATTTTGGATCTGTTAAATTTTGTTCCCCAATCGAACATTTTTGGAGTATTCTAATATTTTTAAAGTAGTGTCAGTAAATAAACTAATTGAAATATATATCTTTATCTGCATTTGCAGCCAAATGTGCCATTATTTTGATTTCATGCTTTTTTCAAAACGACAGTCAAATACTTAAACAAACAAATTGGGCACTTATGAAAAGAAATCACGCTTTTTTATCTGTCATATAAAATCATATAAAGAAACAGCTGTTATTTTCAGAGTAATCTTGCTACTTTGACAAAATATCTGAAGTATTGAAAATTAATCTCGATTGTTATATAGATTTACCAATCGAAAGTGAAAATTGCAATAAAGACAAATCTCTTAACAATCGAAAAAACCATAACTACAGTTTTGTTGGATCCAAACAAAAACTAAAATAGATTTAGAAGTAAGAACCATGTTAAACAGAATAGAAGACGCAAGTTGCAAAATATTTAATAAACTTCATAGTCTTCGCTAATGTGTCTAAAATGGATATGATAAGCAAATTTTTTGTCTAATGTTTTTCAATATTTGAAATAAATGGCACATCAACTATTCTAGAATAGTAGAAAAGTATGTTTTTCTTTTAGTAAAATTAATGTTGATTACTTAAATGCAATTAAACTTGACGTTTAAGACTACTATAAACGGCCAGTTTGCATAATCATGCATTTTAAAATGACCAGTGAAATATATTCGTATACATAAATACAGACTGTGCTGTAAATGTTTGACAAAATATTAATATGTTTTGATTTTTCTGCGTATAATTTGTAATCGATAAATAAAAGACTACTGTGAGTTTATGTATTTGATTGCGACTGTCGATAACACATTATTTCACCACAAACGCAATGAAATAAATTAAATTTAAAATAATTTGTAAATAATAAAAGAAATTATTTCAAAAAGAAGTTATGCTGGCAGCAGCAATTACATATTTTAAGTTAGATTTAGTTATGCGCTCAGTTCAAAGAACATACAAAAATGGATGCATGAGCATTTGAATAATTTGAGTTTTGCATTATCAAATATTTTGGTAATATATTGTTTGTAGTGCCATTGAAATAAGTTCTTTATATTTTAAGCACCATTTGTTTATTATATTGAATAAAATTGAGCAAATTGAACACATGTTTTTTATGATGGTAATAAAATTAAAATTTATTTTAAGAAAGCAATGCCAACTTGCATCTATATGCTGTGTAAACTCTGGTTATTCTAAATTTTATAAATAGTTGGCAACGTGTTTTATTTTTTTTTTCAAATGAGCAATGTCATTGTTGTTTGTGTGAGTGAAAGTTAAGCAAAGTTGTTTGGCGTAGAGCAGGAAACAAAGTGTGCTAAAATTTTTCCGATATTTAGGAAAGAAAGGTAAATAATAAACTATTTCAACATCTTATTTAAGTAAATATAATAGAACTGTAAGTATATTTACATTTTCTTATAATATGTCTTATTTGCAATCAGAATAAAATATCCCAAAATACAAGCTAAAAATTTCCTTCGTGTAGTTTACGAACTGTCAATTTTGCTATCTTGTTTTGTCGGCGAAAATCTGTTAAACCTTATTTCGGGCACGTTAATAAATAAAAGAATTATTTGAATAAGTGCATTGAATAATGGCTATTGATTTAATTGGTTACTTTTATGCTGCAATTGTTGCTGTTGGTGGGGTAATAGGGTACGTGTCAGCAGGTTGGTAGTTTAAACGAATTTCTTTTGCTATGGCTACAGATCTCATTTTTAGATTCTATACCTTCTCTAGCGGCCGGATTAACATTTGGTAGTCTTTTAGCATTGGGCGCTTATTTTAATTCAAAATTACTACCGAGGCCTGTTCTGCAATTAATTGTTGCCGCAGTTTTAGCAGGTGTTATGGGTGCACGTTGGTACCGCACAGGGAAGTTAATGCCGCCCGGTATGATTTGCTTAATTTCGAGCATTATGATAGTACGGAATGTGGTGACATATAAACGTTATTTGCCGGTAATAGGAGGCGATGCCCGTAAATGAATGCTCCATATATTGCTTTTTAAAAGCCATTCGAAATATTTATGCATGTTCTTATAGTTTATCTTGCTCAGAAAATTTTGGTGGCGATTAAAACTGTATTACTTATTACGTACGTGTTCAGAAAATCTAATATCAAATGGTGTCGGCTTTATTATTAAAACTTTTGATTTCTTATATTATCTTCTAAGAGTAACTCAATACTCAATTTTGTAATAAAATGTTAAAAACTACGATCAATTTTGTTATTGAACACTTAGTTCGATTTTATTTTGTAGATATTTGTGACAGAGCAGTAGAAATGCTAGATGAGTCATTTTCGCTAGATTGTTCGTAGATTCTTTGAGATATGTGAGTTTATATAAACATGCAATTCTATATTGGGTAGGCTCATCAAATACATTTAATCTGTATGTTATTTAAATATTTTGTTATTGCCTCTTTGAAACATTACTAAATAAATATGATAAATTTATATCATTTAATTAAAGTCTGAATTTTTTGTAAAATTCTTATTGGAAATTCTGGAATTTATATACCTTTGCTTTGGGTGTTTCTACTGTGTTACATTTTAACTTATTTAGGAATTAGAATACAATATCAATAGCTTGTCGATGAAATATGTGGGTTCCGTCCAATTGAAACCAAAAAAGGTGATATTACAGAAGATGATAATACGTGCAACTAAAATTCCTTTTCTGTTAGATTTGTTATAGATAAATTAATTATTGCTGAATGTTTTAAAAAAATAATTGTTATGGAGTATGAAAACATTTATGTTATTTGTGGTAAATGTACTGTGTTTTAATGAACTGTCAGGATGTACATCCCTTCAACTTGTATCTTTCTATAAGTAAAATAGTCGACAAAATTATCCATAAAGTTCAAAAAGGTTGCAAGGAACATGTAACTGGTTAAAAAACGAAGATTGGTTGATGTTTGGATGCGTCATGAAATGAATAGAAAGAAAATTATTGACTACTTGTGAATCGCTGTTGAAACAGATTAAGATCAATTACTATTTGAAGTGTATGGTTAGGGCCATGTTATGCAGAGTGTCTCGGGCACGGCATGAGCACAATTGTTGTTGTTTACAATGCAAATTTTAAATTTGAGAATGAGAAAAAATATAATATGGCCGTTCAAACTCCGGCATGAGAGCCGGCGTATTTGTGCCCCGGCACTAAGGCAAAACAGTGTTGTTTAGTAATAAATTTCAAAATTTGCGCCTTTTAGGAGCAAACTACTACAATTCTAGTACGTTTTGGAGAAAAGATGGCAGTAAGCAACACAGCATTTTTTTTATAAATCGCTAATAATATAATTATTACAATTTCCGATTTCAATGAAAGGCGTAAGTACTGTACACAATTGTTATAAGATAATATAATAATAAATTAACAGTATTACATCCTCTAGGAGGTTTTTCTTGCTAGTTATTTTTGGTGGTAAATTGAAAGTGAGCCTATCTAAATTTCCTTTTAAATTTAGGCACAACCAAGAAGTAGTAAAAATACAAAATTGGCAATACTGATGTGACACTCTGCATAACATGCATTTTCGGCATAGCCCGAAAGAGCATAATTTGCCGTGCCCGAGACACTCTGCATAACATGGCCCTTACAGAAGATAAAAACTAAATATAAAAGTATACAGTTGAAAAATGAATGACGATTTATAAACTGCTAAAAATGGAATTTTTGATTAAAATATGCATATTATCGATTAAAAGTTGTTAACGCCGAATAAACAGTTTGATTTGAGTCCCTTCGAAATCTCTTAAATGCGTTTAACTGATATTAAACTGATATTAAAAATAGAAGCCGAGGTTGATAAAGAGAACAAATGTTTCGCTTTAACATGACGACGCTAAGCCACATATTTCTGTGCTGATCTTCCATAGATCAAAACACACCGGTTTCGATTTTTTAAAGTATTCACCTACCATTCAATCAAAGATTATAACTTCTTCTGATATCTAATTGTGGAATTTTAGTGGACAAAGGCAAAAGTAATAAAAAAATCAGATATTTTGTAATTAAATATTCGCTTAAGTTATCGTATAAATGCGTATCGTAAAACCTTATGCCGAATCATGTGAGGGATAAATTGCTTTATTCGCCTAAAATTTACTATTCTAATGATGTGAACTTATAGCTGATAGAAAAATCTGCGGCGTAATGTACAAATGGAGACCTAAAGACTGCAATATCAGATGTTTTATATATTATTCTGCACATTCATTTTATTGACCAACTGGACAAACGATGTACCATTTTATCTGTGTAATTACCATAAGTATAGCCAATGTAAGTGTTACTTAATAGGGCAGTTTACATTGCTTGACGAATTTCTCAATTTCTTCAATAACCAACCATTGTTCATCAAAACTACAAAACACTATCGACGAATATGGAAAACAGTAGTGATTGTTAACACGATTAACCGGTACATGCAATGGCAACGTTGTCCACCAAACATTACTTGAGCATAAATCATGACCCGTTGCTATAAAAATTCTGCATATGAGTTGAAATTGAATAACCAAGTATACGAGGGTCACTAGTTATATTTCGAGCCTTAGCATCATTTTTTTTGTCAGGTGTCATCTGACTTTTCCATGCGTAGGTTTGAAATTGTTAACCTGAGTGTTATTATTTGTGTTATTTACAGTGATTTGTAAATTGATTGTTCACGAAAAAATGGAATTAACACGAGAAAATTTTTGTGCGATGGTTTGTTACGGCTTTCAACGTGGATTACCAAGACATGAGATCAACTTACTTCCACATTTGGCGATGAAGCGCTTGAAGCACTGCGAAAGAAATGGTCGCACTTTTACCATTACAGGAATGTAAAACGGTCAATTTCGAATTGTATACAACCATTTGTTTACCGGAAGACTTCAGTGAATTACTTAACTAATATATCATTCTGATCTATTACAGTTCTGATTTGGCACCCAATGACAACAATTGACTGTAATAGATTACTATCAGCTGAAGTTATTCTAGTATAACGACGACTGATATTTTTAATAGGAGTCTTACTGGAATTATATGGAATCACAATGTAATATATCGATAAAATTTCTCGCACAGCATAAATCACAAAAAGTAAGGTTTTAGAAGCATCCAGAGTTATACCTTAGAGTCAATCAAGTGCCGCTTATCCCTCCCAACTTGGCAACTCATAATACATATATGTGATTTGATATTTTTGACATTTGTTGTCTGATGAATTAGAGTTCTTATATGTCTTACAAATAGTCAAAAAAAAGTTTGTAGTTTTGTATGTTATAACGCATAATAAATGCAAAATACTGCAGTGAGTGGTAGCCACAATAATTGAGCTGACTTATCCTTCGTTATAATGGAATATCAAACGAATTCTCTGACAATCAAAAAAACAAAATTTTGATTTATTTTGTGCAGGTCTTAAGATTGTTGGTTTCCGCAATTTTTGTAGAAAAAAATCTAAGAGAATTTCAGTTGATATATATACTTTTCTTTTAATATTTGTATATTTACAAAAATCAGAATTCAAAAGACTTAATTTCGAATGAATTTTAATTAATTACAACAAATTTAATTAATTTTCTAAAGATCTTTATATGTTTATTTTAATTACAATCAATTTTTTTCACAATTATTTTATGTTTTAATTATATTTAAAATAAAAATAAATTTATTTTATAATTACAGTTTTTATTTATTAAAATTAATTTAAGGCTAAAAGTAAAATAAGTCGTGTAAAACAAACTCATTTCGAGTAAATATTAACAAAAAAAAAATAAAATTAAAAATAAAAAATAAAATAAAAATTAAATTAATTTAAACACTAAAACGAAATCAATAAAATTAATGCTAACTAAAGTAAATATCTGAAATTTTAACACAATTTTAATAATTTTCAAAATAGTTATGAAATTCTTTTTGTTTTTAAATAATGGCAAATTAACATTTCCTTCGAACTGCGGTTATGATTTGATTTGATTTGATTTGATTTGATGCTGATGTGAGGACGTTGAGATTATTGCAGAATATTAAATTTCGGTGCCCAATGAGAGTGAGATGCCTTATTGGAGACCGTTTCATATTCATTTGTTCCTGAAGTGTGTGCTTGATTTGAATGTATTTTGTGCTATGAAATATTTAGGTACCTTGAAACAGTCTAAAACGGAAACGCCTTGAAATTAACCACTGTTGGGAGAAAATTTAAGAGAATAAACAAAAAATTACTAAAAACAATTAATTTTAATTTTGGTATTGTTAATAAGATGTTTAATGCAAAGGATGCAATATTAAATATAAAAACCAAAATAAAAATAAAAAGAAATTATAAAATAATTGAAATGGTTAAGATGACGCCACAATTTATTTTCTTAATTGGTAATGTTTTTGCCGCCACTCATGCAAAAATTTGTTTGATTTTCGTATTAGATTTTCAGATTTCAGTTGATATTTTTGATATGTTAAAAATGTTACTATCAGGAACCATGAGTTCCTTCTTCCTTTTATTTATTCTATTTAGTTTTTATGCCAAATCCATTGTTACGCGTTTTGTAGCATGTTTCATTGTCAATAGTAGCCAAACGCCATTTTCGAAATTAGAATTCGAATATTAAGATTTAAATGTAAAGCTTTTCGAAGTTTGTATGAATTTTGTTCGAAAAGTTGCACCAAATCCTGCTTAAGATTATTTTTGTTTTATGATTTTGTATATTTGTTATGATTTGGAATGTTGCTTTTGTCGCTATTGTTGTCCATTTTTGTATGATTTTTTTTTTTTAATGCAATGTAGGTATGTAAGTTGGTGCTCTTGGTGTTTGCTTGTGCATTTGGGTGTGTGGTATATATGCAGATTTGATGCATTTTGGTCCATAACTCTTTTATGGATATTTTTATGTTTAAAACAGAATTTAGGCTTTAAATGCTTTATATGCGATCATATGTATATGTAAGAAGAAATAAAAAAAATTCATGCAAACTAAGAATAAATAAGAAATATGTTAAACTATAAATCGAAATTATATTAACAGTACTTAGAAGTGCAATAGATAGAAAGTAGGAAAGAGATAGACATAGACATAGACATAGCAGTAAAGTATAATAATGACCGCTGCAAATGATAGAAATGGCAATGTGGTTAGTGGCAGTGATTGAAATGTGAAGAAATTTGATGAAAAATGCAGCAATTTAAATATTACAGTCCTTTCTAGTTTTTATTAAAT